AAGGTAATGAGTGAGATCTCATTACCTATAGCAGCAACGCACAACGTTTGTGTGTTGGGAGCAACCTTCATCAAGAGGCCTACAAATTCTCTTGATGTTGCTGGACCAGTAGGGTGCTCCGCACCTACTGATCCTGTCCGTTTTTTTACGGTCCATCCCGTTGTTGCGTCTTTGCACCAACAGTGGACCCTCGTCCCTGCCCCTTTCTCATGGGTGGACGGTCACTACGCCCAGTGTTGCGAGACACTGGACGAGGGGCACAAAACTCGTAAGCGTAGTGTCCTGTCTTTTGACATCTGTTGCATCTCTGCAACTTCTTGTAGTCTGTAGAGCGAGCCTTCTCGCTCTCTACATAACAGAGTTCCATCGGCTCTGGACCTCCGTTGTCATATCGTCTCGGTTGACGATATGATGTCGAGCTGGCGCGAGCCTGTCTCAGACTGAAGTCTTCCTGCTCCGCAATGGAAATGGCTTGTTCTAGTGAATCTAGTTCAAGCCGGAACAGGTGAGTCTTGACGGGACCATCCGCAAGACCCTGCATGAACACCGAAACCAACATGTGTTCATCCACCGGATTGGAACTTATACAACTTGTAAGATGTCGTATATGTTGCGCGTAAGCGTGCACATCACGCTTACCTTGTTTGAGCTTCAAGAGTTCGGTTCGAGCTCTGAACTCAACTCTAGGCGGTTCAAACGTTTGTCTGAGCCGCGACTTGAAGATTTCCAACGACCCAAACGCATATGGGTCGTGCAACTTGAGCCCCAGTGCCCAAGTCTTGGCACGTCCTGCCAGATTTGACTGGGCAAATGCAACTTGCATATCCCCGTCGTCGATGCGACGCGCCCTTATGGCGTCATCCAATTCTACGAACCATCTCAAGAGGGAGTCCTCTTCGACTCCCCTATACTTGGAGATGTCAATCTTCAAGGTTTCGGGTCGACGCGAGTGCATCGACCCGCCATCAGCAGCCTGCTGCTGTCTCAACAGTTCAAACTGTTGAGCACCCTGTTCTCTCAACAACTCTGCTTGTTGAGAACCTTGTTGGTGAAGCAAGGCTACTTTCTCGCGTTCTGCGTCAAGTTCATTTTGAATGAACTTGGCGATAGTAGCATGTTGGGCATCTCTATTGAGAGCCTCTAGCATGACGCTAACAGCATGGATGCCCATGGTTGAACCCATTCGTTCAACCGCATCCCATTCGACATCTCTCAAATGGGAGCAGCCGCCACGCGTAGCGTGAAAGCTTTGGTCATCTTCATCATCCAACATATTCATGTTGGATGTGAACGTGGTCCTTGAACGGACTACGAAGTGCTACCAGGTGTAACGGGGCACCCTGAAGCTTGTACTGTTGACAGTACAAGCTACTTATTCTGATGACAGAATAAGGCGGTGCCTCGTCACTTCACGTACACTCGTACGTGCAGAGGAAGACGGTAAGAAGAAGCGAGTACTTGGTTAAAGTAAAAAGTAGAACTGTATTTAGTATAGTTAATGTCTGCAATAAATCACTATTTATCTTCATCTAACTATGTCCAAATACAAATGTGTAAATCAACTATCTGCTCACCACTCATTGCGTGCGTCAATCGTGGCGCGTCTTCGTTGGTTGATATAATGGCCTATACCAACCAATTAGGAACTACTCGTAAGTGCTACAGAATATTTGTCCTTATGACAATAATCTGAAAATATAACTCTTATAGTTATATTCTCTTAACAATTTCTTATAAATTGTTATGTAACGATTCACCCCGTTACAGAAATTAAATGTCCTAGTCAATGACGGATCAATCGTAGGCGCTTATACACTTGATCTGATTGCGCCTCCGAAGTTGACTTCGGAGATCACTCAGTTGCCAACGCTCGAACATAAAAGGTTCTTGCGTGATCTGCGTAGTGGCAAAGTCAAGCCGATCTGCGTACTCGTCGCTGACGACGAGTGTGTAACCGACATAAGGTCAGCAACAGTGTTTACTGAGAACGAGAGAGTTCTCAGTAGTTCATCTATGGACGAGAGTGTCCTAGATGAAAAGACACGAATTGAGCGATATGACTCCCAATCGTGGGAATCGCTCAAGACAAATCCTCTCTACGAAGATTTGGTTGAATTCAAGGATGTATTCCCTGAAACTGTTCCGTGTGAGTTACCGAAGGATAAAGGTACTCGACACGAGGTCGAGCTTAAACCAGGCTCGAAGTACTGTGTCATGAAGCAGTGGCCACTGCCCCGTGAACAAGTACTTGCGATCGACAAGTTCTTTGCCGATCGTTTAGCTGCGGGCCATGTGAGGGAATCAACTTCCCCACATAGCTCTCCGACCTTCTGTGTGCGAAAAGCAACAGGAGGGTGGCGGATAGTGCATGCATTTAACAAGTTAAATGCTGCAACGGTACCGTCTCAGACGCCGATACCAAGGAAGGACGTAATCATTGATGGTATGTCAAAGAGTAACATCTTTTCGTCCATGGATTTGATGGATGGCTTCTATCAAATCCTTATGCGAGAACGGGATATACACTATACCGCAGTTAGCACGCCTAGCGGCATGCTCTGGGAATGGCTAGTAATGCCACAAGGGCTTAGTAATGCCCCTGCCACGTTCAACAGATGTGTATCACATCTGTTGAGACCAGTACGAGAATTTGCGCCGAGTTATTTCGATGACGTATTCATTTATAGTCGAGCTATGGATGGAAAGTCGGACGTTGAGGTTCACAGGTACCACGTCCGACAGGTTCTTACAATCATGCGAAAGCATCAATTGTATGCAAACCTCAAGAAGTGCATATTTGCAGCAAGCAAAATACCACTTCTTGGGTGCATCGTTGGTAAGAACGGTGTACGTCCTGATCCCGAAAAGATCAAGGCGATCACCGACTGGCCTGTGCCGGTTGATGTCAAAGGTCTTCGAAAATTCCTTGGGCTAGCGGCGTATTTGCATAAGTATTCACGCAATTACGCCGAGATGACTGTGCACCTCTCTCGTTTGTTGAAAAAGAACGAGAGGTGGTTATTGAACGTTGAATGTCAGCGCTCCTTTGAGGGTATCAAGCAGAGCTTGATACAATTCCCAGTCCTAGCAATAGCCGATCAGGACAGGCCATTTCATGTGGTCTGTGATGCCAGCGATTTCGCAATCGGCTGTGCATTAATGCAGTACGACCTAGAAGGCGTTGAACGCGTCGTCTGCTATCAGTCGCGTCAGCTGCAACCAGCTGAGCGGAACTATCCGGTGCATGACAAGGAACTCCTTGCCATGAAATATGCACTCGCGAAGTTCAGAGTCTATCTATTAGGAGATAGACCCTTCATTGTTTACACTGACCATGCGTCATTACGCACGGCAGTGAACAGCCCGCACCTTTCACAACGAATGGCGCGGTGGTTGTCATTCTTTGCAGAATACAAGTTTACGGTCGAGTACAAACCAGGACGACTTAATGTCGTCGCTGATGCACTCTCACGTCGTCCCGACTTTGAAACAGTCGCGAAACCCAACAGTGAGACAGTAACTGTTGCGGTTATGACGTCCTCAGTCCCATCTACAACGTTGTATGATGATGTGAGGCGGGCATACGCCCAAGATGGTGAGATTGTGAAGTTGTTGACACATCTCTCACAGCCATCTCGAGAATCGTTGAAACGATTGTCGCCTGCGTATCGATCTGCATCAGATCGATACACTACTCGCGACGGTTTACTGTATTATACAGCCGTTTCTGGTGACACACCGCGTGTTGTCATTCCAGAAGATACTGATCTGCGTTTGCGGATCATGTTCGAGTATCACGATGCTCCTATAGGAGGACATCGTGGCCGGGAGAAAACATATCTCACGGTGAGTCGAGACTTTTACTGGCCCCGCCAGTATCAGTTTGTGCGAAAGTATGTTCGCGCATGCGAAGTCTGCCAACGAGTGAAGTCAAGTCCTTCACTGCGTGCACCTTTACAGCCTCTACCGGTTCCGGCGGAGTGCTGGGAATCCATCTCAATGGATTTCGTCTTCGGGTTACCCAAAGACGCACGCGGGAATACGGGTATTCTCGTATTTGTTGACAGATTCAGCAAAATGGTACACCTTGTGGCTGTACCAGAGACAATCACGGCAAGTGGCTGTGCTTGTGTCTTTATTGACACCATCTTCCGAATGCATGGGTTGCCCCGTGAACTCGTATCAGACAGAGATCCACGATTCACTGCTGATTTCTGGCGTTCCGTGTTCAAATCACTCGGAACGCGCTTGAAGATGTCGACATCTGATCATCCAGAGTCAGATGGTCAGACGGAACGTGCCAATCGTGTCCTTGAAGAAATACTTCGAGGATACGTACACTCCTTTAAGAGTTGGAGTGAGTTTTTGCCACTGGTAGAGTTTGCCATTAACAACTCGGTGCATGCGTCCACGACACATACACCGTTTTACGTGAATGGCTTGCGCCATCCGCGTGTACCCACCTTACTAGAGTGTAACTCTGGTTTAAGGGGGGGAGGGACTCGCGCGAGCAAAAACCGATTTGGCTCACGCTCATCACGCTCTGACGAAGAGGTCATTGCGTTTGATGCCGATATCGATAACATCGATATCGAAGAAGATGATGCCAGTGAGAGTGCGGAAGCCCTCAATGAAGAAAAGGTTGATGTTGCTGCAGTGCGCTCACAGTGCACTGAAGCTAACGAGTCATCAGATGAGTTCATACTGGCTAGTGAAACGGTAGTCCGTTCTGTGCAAGACTCCATCGCCGAAGCGGTGGACAAGCAAAAAGCAAAACGCAGACAAGAATGGAAGGGCAAACACTCTTTTATTTAATAAAGGTGACTTAGTCCTACTGTCTACGGTTAATCTACCAAAGCATATAGTGACTAACTTGGGTAGCAGTAAACTACTACCCAAGTACATCGGCCCATTTCGTGTATTGCACCGCCTAGGCAATGCATACACGATCGAGTTACCACGTAAGATGCGAACGCATCCCACGTTTTACGTTGGTCGGCTTAAGCCGTACCATCAGTACGCTGCTTCTTCCGATGAAGAACGCCCTTGCGCTCAAGCATCTCGCAGAGAGCCTTGTGCTCCCGATGGTGGGCATCAACAAGGGTCTGAAGAGCAGCTATCTCATCCCGAGACCGATCAACAATCCCACGAGCTACCCTTAGCTCGTCACGAAGAGATGTCAGAGATCTCTCGTTCTCAAGCTGAGCAAAGGCAAACTCAGCTCGATGCTTCAAGACAGTGTCCCCCATTTGGAGACGCCTGTCCCGCTCATGTTCGAGATCGTTTCGTAACCCTTGCGTTACGCGATCAAAGAAGCTATCGGGAACACACGGATCCCCATGATCGTGTGGAGAGCGTCTTTCCTCCTCCTCCACCTCCATTAGAGGACTCTCGCGGTGGACAGCGCTATCTAGTTGAGCAGCTGTTGAACCACCACGACGTGAACGGACGTCGGACGAGTTATCTCGTCCGGTGGCGCGGCTATCCCCCGTCCTGGGATTCCTGGGAGCCCCGCTCCCAACTGATGATCGACGTACTGGGTCTGGTTGAGCAGTACGACGCGGCACATCCTGTGCCGCAGAAGGACCGCCGGAGAAAGTCTTCCCGGCACGGTCGTAAAGGGATTTCAAGTTGTCAATCCCTTCGTACATCTCAATAGAGATACGTACGCGCCACCACGGGCTATTAGGGAGGTAAGCCTCCTTAGGTGCTCGTGCAGAGTTGTTCACACAACATGGGCACGAGTCTCTCCAAGAGAGGCAGGGTAATCCTTTCTCCCTTGACAGACGATGCAGCTTGTAGCGTGCACCTGTCGGGGTTCGCTTTTCAAACTTATCATGAGCTTTGATAAGTTTGTCGTTCCAAACGTCACGACATACATCCTCAAGGTTATGGATGTAGGCGTTCCACGCTTGAAGTAGTGAGGTACCATCACGCTTGTGATTCCCACTGTACCATCGATGTTTAAAGAAAGCATAGATGAAGAAATCATTCTCAGCGCGATAGTTTTTCGCACTGGGGTCAAGGTGATGGATCCTTGACGAATGCAAATATTCTTGTCGCGGACTGCGGCTCTTCACGCTCGTACTGGTATACTTCGCCCGTATACTACTTCAAACCTCTACATTAGGTCATTCCTATCGCTTTTCTATTTATCTATTTATTTCTATCCAAGCTGAATTCCCTCGCAATTCCATGTATTGTGAGGCTGTTCTCACGTCTGCAGGCTACCCACTTGTATTTTAGTTAAGTCCAGCATGCGCTCAATAAGCCTTTCGCTTGAGCCTAACGAGGTGTGTGTTGTGTGCCAACAATGTTTCTGTGGTGGCTAAAGTGTAACGGGGCACCCTGAAGCTTGTACTGGTGACAGTACAAGCTACTTATGTTGATGACAGAATAAGGCGGTGCCTCGTCACTTCACGTACACTCGTACGTGCAGAGGAAGACGGTAAGAAGAAGCGAGTACTTGGTTAGAGTAAAAAGTAGAACTGTATTCAGTATAGTTAATGTCTGCAATAAATCACTATTTATCCTCATCTAACTATGTTTGAATAGAAATGTGCATAGCAACTGTCTGCTCACCACTCATTGCGTGCGTCTGTCGTGGCGCGTCTTCGTTGGTTGATAGAATGGCCTATATCAACCAATTAAGAACTACTCGTAAGTGCTACAGAATATTTGTCCTTATGACAATATTCTGAGAATATAACTCTTATAGTTATATCCTATTAACAATTTCTTATAAATTGTTATGTAACGATTCACCCCGTTACATCACCCCCCCTTAACCATCAGTCACTTTAGTAACTGATTGACTAAATGGATACTCGTTTTAAATCATTTGGGACAGGGTTTGCACTTGTTGGTCCGAGTCCACTTTCCAACAATTCATAGCATGGTTAACAAGCCCATGCGGTGCGCGAGCAAGGCCGCCGAGAGCGCGTCCGCACGTCTCTGTGCGGACGCCGAAGCAGAAACCGCAGCAACTGATCTCTCATCGGTTGCTGAAGCGACTCAGCCTGTGTCACTTGGTGATGCAGGCGCTGGTCATGAAGACACTCATGTCTTCACAGAGTATGAGCTCGGTGTCTCATACTCTCCTGATACGGAAGACGGATCCGTATCGACGGCGATCGAATCCAAGCCGCCTGCCAAGCGTGGCATGGATGATGCTTTGCGTCGTAGCATCTTTGGTTCATCTGATGAATCAGATGAACCATCGCCGAAGCGAAGGCGCTCGAGGTCGCGAGACTCGGGCGCTAACAGTGGTGTCGGTTCTCCTATTGACACCACTTCGCAACGAGGTGCAAGTCCTTCTGTCGGCACGTCGCAGGAAGAGCGGGACCGCAATGTGTTGCGTCTCGCTCCCGAGAAGAAGGCATGGATGCCTCCCGAATCCGTCATGGATCACTCGTCGGCGAGGACGATGATCGTTATCGAACACGATTGTTCGATTCGTCAAGGATCCATCACCTTGACCCCAGTGCGAAAAACTATCGCGCTGAGAATGATTTCTTCATCTATGCTTTCTTTAAACATCGATGGTACAGTGGGAATCACAAACGTGATGGTCCCTCACTGCTTCAAGCGTGGAACGCCTACATCCATAACCTTGAGGATGTAGGTCGTGACGTTTGGAACGACAAACTTATCAAAGCTCATGATAAGTTTGAAAAGCGAACCCCGACAGGTGCACGCTACAAGCTGCATCGTCTGTCAAGGGAGAAAGGATTACCCTGCCTCTCTTGGGGAGACTCGTGCCCGTGTTGTGTGAACAACTCTGCACGAGCACCTAAGGAGGCTTACCTCCCTAATAGCCCGTGGTGGCGCGTACGTATCTCTAGTGAGATGTACGAAGGTATTGACAACTTGAAATCCCTTTACGACCGTGCCGGGAAGACTTTCTCCGGCGTTCCTTCTGCGGCACAGGATGTGCCGCGTCGTACTGCTCAACCAGACCCAGTACGTCGATCATCAGTTGGGAGCGGGGCTCCCAGGAATCCCAGGACGGGGGATAGCCGCGCCACCGGACGAGATAACTCGTCCGACGTCCGTTCACGTCGTGGTGGTTCAACAGCTGCTCAACTAGATAGCGCTGTCCACCGCGAGAGTCCTCTAATGGAGGTGGAGGAGGAGGAAAGACGCTCTCCACACGATCATGGGGATCCGTGTGTTCCCGATAGCTTCTTTGATCGCGTAACGCAAGGTTTACGCAACGATCTCGAACATGAGCGGGACAGGCGTCTCCAAATGGCGGACACTGTCTTGAAGCATCGATCTGAGTTTGCCTTTGCTTAGCTTGAGAACGAGTGAGCTCTGACATCTCTTCGTGACGAGCTAAGGGTAGCTCGTGGGGATGTTGAGCGGTCTCGGGATGAGATAGCTGCTCTTCAGACCCTTGTTGATGCCCACCATCGGGAGCACAAGGCTCTCTGCGAGATGCTTGAGCGCAAGGGCGTTCTTTATCGGAAGAAGCAGCGTACTGATGGTACGGCTTAAGCCGACCAACGTAAAACGTGGGATGCGTTGCATCTTACGTGGCAACTCGATCGTGTATGCATTGCCTAGGCGGTGCAATACACGAAATGGGCCGATGTACTTGGGTAGTAGTTTACTGCTACCCAAGTTAGTCGCTACATGCTTTGGTAGATTAAACGTATACAGTAGGACTAAGTCACCTTTATTAAATAAAAGAGTGTTTGCCCTTCCATTCTTGTCTGCGTTTTGCTTTTGCTTATCCACCGCTTCGGCGATGGAGTCTTGCACAAAACGGACTACCGTTTCACTAGCCAGTATGAACTCATCTGATGACTCGTTAGCTTCAGTGCACTGTGAGCGCACTGCAGCAACAACAACCTTTTCTTCAGTGAGGGCTTCCGCACTCTCGCTGGGATCATTGTCTTCAGTGAGGGCTTCCGCACTCTCACTGGCATCATCTTCTTCGATATCGATGTTATCGATATCGGCATCAAACGCAATGACTTCTTCGTCAGAGCGTGATGAGCGTGAACCAAATCGGTTTTTGCTCGCGCGAGTCCCTCCCCCCCTTAAACCAGAGTTACACTCTAGTAAGGTGGGTACACGCGGATGGCGCAAGCCATTCACGTAAAAAACGGTGTATGTGTCGTGGACGCATGCACCGAGTTGTTAATGGCAAACTCTACCAGTGGCAAAAACTCACTCCAACTCTTAAAGGAGTGTACGTATCCTCGAAGTATCTCTTCAAGGACACGATTGGCACGTTCCGTCTGACCATCTGACTCTGGATGATCAGATGTCGACATCTTCAAGCGCGTTCCGAGTGATTTGAACACGGAACGCCAGAAATCAGCAGTGAATCGTGGATCTCTGTCTGATACGAGTTCACGGGGCAACCCATGCATTCGGAAGATGGTGTCAATAAAGACACAAGCACAGCCACTTGCCGTGATTGTCTCTGGTACAGCCACAAGGTGTACCATTTTGCTGAATCTGTCAACAAATACGAGAATACCCGTATTCCCGCGTGCGTCGTTGGGTAACCCGAAGACGAAATCCATTGAGATGGATTCCCAGCACTCCGCCGGAACCGGTAGAGGCTGTAAAGGTGCACGCAGTGAAGGACTTGACTTCACTCGTTGACAGACTTCGCATGCGCGAACGTACTTGCGCACAAACTGATACTGGCGGGGCCAGTAAAAGTCTCGACTCACCGTGAGATATGTTTTCTCCCGGCCACGATGTCCTCCTATAGGAGCATCGTGGTACTCGAACATGATCCGCAAGCGCAGATCAGTGTCATCTGGAATGACAACACGTGGTGTGTCACCCGAAACGGCTGTAAAATACAGTAAACCGTCGCGAGTAGTGTATCGATCTGATGCAGATCGATACGCAAATGATAATCGTTTCAACGATTCTCGAGATGGCTGTGAGAGATGTGTCAACAACCTCACAATCTCACCATCTTGGGCATACGCCCGCCTCACATCATCATACAGCGTTGTAGATGGGACTGAGGACGTCATAACCGCAACAGTGGCTGTCTCACTGTTGGGTTTCGCGACTGTTTCAAAGTCGGGCCGACGTGAGAGTGCATCAGCGACGACATTAAGTCGCCCTGGTTTGGACTCGACCGTAAAGTTGTATTCTGCAAAGAATGACAACCACCGCGCCATTCGTTGTGAAAGGTGCGGGCTGTTCACTACCGTGCGTAATGACGCATGGTCAGTGTAAACAATGAAGGGTCTATCTCCTAATAGATAGACTCTGAACTTCGCGAGTGCATACTTCATGGCAAGGAGTTCCTTGTCATGCACTGGATAGTTCCGCTCAGCTGGTTGCAGCTGACGCGACTGATAGCAGACGACGCGTTCAACGCCTTCAAGATCGTACTGCATTAATGCAAAGCCGATTGCGAAATCGCTGGCATCACAGACCACATGAAATGGCCTGTCCTGATCGGCTATTGCTAGGACTGGGAATTGTATCAAGATCTGCTTGATACCATCAAAGGAGCGCTGACATTCAGCGTTCCATAATCACCTCTCGATCTTTTTCAACAAACGAGAGAGGTGCACAGTCATCTCGGCGTAATTGCGTGAATACTTATGCAAATACGCCGCTAGCCCAAGGAATTTTCGAAGACCTTTGACATCAACCGGCACAGGCCAGTCGGTGATCGCCTTGATCTTTTCGGGATCAGGACGTACACCGTTCTTACCAACGATGCACCCAAGAAGTGGTATTTTGCTTGCTGCAAATATGCACTTCTTGAGGTTTGCATACAATTGATGCTTTCGCATGATTGTAAGAACCCGTCGGACGTGGTACCTGTGAACCTCAACGTCCGACTTTCCATCCATAGCTCGACTATAAATGAATACGTCATCGAAATAACTCGGCGCGAATTCTCGTACTGGTCTCAACAGATGTGATACACATCTGTTGAACGTGGCAGGGACATTACTAAGCCCTTGTGGCATTACTAGCCATTCCCAGAGCATGCCGCTAGGCGTGCTAACTGCGGTATAGTGTATATCCCGTTCTCGCATAAGGATTTGATAGAAGCCATCCATCAAATCCATGGACGAAAAGATGGGACTCTTTGACATACCATCAATGATTACGTCCTTCCTTGGTATCGGCGTCTGAGACGGTACCGTTGCAGCATTTAACTTGTTAAATGCATGCACTATCCGCCACCCTCCTGTTGCTTTTCGCACACAGAAGGTCGGAGATCTATGTGGGGAAGTTGATTCCCTCACATGGCCTGCAGCTAAACGATCGGCAAAGAACTTGTCGATCGCAAGTACTTGTTCACGGGGCAGTGGCCACTGCTTCATGACACAGTACTTCGAGCCTGATTTAAGCTCGACCTCGTGTCGAGTACCTTTATCCTTCGGTAACTCGCACGGAACAGTTTCAGGGAATACATCCTTGAATTCAACCAAATCTTCATAGAGAGGGATTTGTCTTGAGCGATTCCCACGATTGGGATTCATATCGCTCAATTCGTGTCTTTTCATCTAGGACACTCTCGTCCATAGATGAACTACTGAGAACTCTCTCGTTCTCAGTAAACACTGTTGCTGACCTTATGTCGGTTAAACACTCGTCGTCAGCGACGAGTACGCAGATCTGCTTGACTTTGCCACTACGCAGATCACGCAAGAACCTTTTATGTTCGAGCGTTGGCAACTGAGTGATCTTCGAAGTCAACTTCGGAGGCGCAATCAGATCAAGTGTATAAGCGCCTACGCTTGATCCGTCATTGACTAGGACATTTAATGTCTCTGTCATTTCCTGGGGACTTATTCCCTCAGGCCTCGAAGGACTTATTCCTTCGGCTTCCCGGGGACTTATTCCCTCGGGTTTCGGGGAACTTATTTCCGCCATATTTGTAATATCGGGACTTATTCCCTTAACTTCCTCTAGCTGTGGTTGCGCAACCACAGCGAGATCGTCTACGAAAGACTCTCCAGTCGATCTAGGATTATCGTTTCGCTTAACCTGAGCGATCGATGGTTTCTCTTCTAGATGTTCCCCGCTAGGGATACATCTTTGTCCCGGTCCACTCGACTTATTCGAGTGGTGGATCTTTGGCGCAGCCTGTGTTTCCTCACAGCCGCCGGAAGCTTGCTCCGAAGTGTAACCGTTTGGTACACTAAGGTTTTGTGCAGTCGTACTAACGACCGTACCACAAGTGAGGCCATCGCACTCACTCGTAGTACATCCACACGCTTGTGGACGCTCCAAAACGTTCATCAGATGGCCATCTGATGAACAAGCGGCAGGCATCGTTACTGTTCGATGTTGCCAGTTTACTCGTGGATCGTACCTTCTGAGCCACGGTATTCCAAGGATGTCATCAAATTTGCCATCCAATTCCAATACGATAACGTCATCGTCATATCAAGTATCTTCTAGCGTATAGTGGATCTTCACTTTACGCTTCATGCCGGTTACGGATGCGCCTGTCGCAAGATGTACCGTCATCCTCGTAGGAGGTGTGTCACATTCACTGAACTTAAAGTGACCATCTTCTAGCGATTGGTGTCGCACAAAATTGTTGGACGCCCCACAATCGACTAGATCTCGAAGGGACAACTTATTCGTCGCTTCGAGTTTCAAGGTAATGAGTGAGATCTCATTACCTATAGCAGCAACGCACAACGTTTGTGTGTTGGGAGCAACCTTCATCAAGAGGCCTACAAATTCTCTTGACGTTGCTGGACCAGTAGGGTGCTCCGCACCTACTGATCCTGTCCGTTTTTTTACGGTCCATCCCGTTGTTGCGTCTTTGCACCAACAGTGGACCCTCGTCCCTGCCCCTTTCTCATGGGTGGACGGTCACTACGCCCAGTGTTGCGAGACACTGGACGAGGGGCACAAAACTCGTAAGCGTAGTGTCCTGTCTTTTGACATCTGTTGCATCTCTGCAACTTCTTGTAGTCTGTAGAGCGAGCCTTCTCGCTCTCTACATAACAGAGTTCCATCGGCTCTGGACCTCCGTTGTCATATCGTCTCGGTTGACGATATGATGTCGAGCTGGCGCGAGCCTGTCTCAGACTGAAGTCTTCCTGCTCCGCAATGGAAATGGCTTGTTCTAGTGAATCTAGTTCAAGCCGGAACAGGTGAGTCTTGACGGGACCATCCGCAAGACCCTGCATGAACACCGAAACCAACATGTGTTCATCCACCGGGTTGGAACTTATACAACTCGTGAGATGTCGTATATGTTGTGCGTAAGCGTGCACATCACGCTTACCTTGTTTGAGTTTCAGGAGTTCAGTTCGAGCTCTGAACTCAGCTCTAGGCGGTTCAAACGTTTGTCTGAGCCACAACTTGAAGACTTCTAACGACCCAAACGCATATGGGTCGTGCAACTTGAGCCCCAGTGCCCAAGTCTTGGCACGTCCTGCCAGATTTGACTGGGCAAATGCAACTTGCATTTCCCCCGTCGTCGATGCGACGCGCCCTTATGGCGTCATCCAATTTCGACGAACCATCTCAAGAGGGAGTCCTCTTCGACTCCCCTATACTTGGAGATGTCAATCTTCAAGGTCTCGGGTCGACGCGAATGCATCGACCCACCAGCAGCAGCCTGCTGCTGTCTCAACAGTTCAAACTGTTGAGCACCCTGTTCTCTCAACAACTCTGCTTGTTGAGAACCTTGTTGGTGAAGCAAGGCTCATTTCTCGCGTTCTGCGTCAAGTTCATTTTGAATGAACTTGGCGATAGTAGCATGTTGGGCATCTCTATTGAGAGCCTCTAGCATGACGCTAACAGCATGGATGCCCATGGTTGAACCCATCCGTTCAACCGCATCCCATTCGACATCGCTCAAATAGGAGTAGCCGTCACGCGTAGCGTGAAAGCTTTGGTCATCTTCATCATCCAACATATTCAGGTTAGATGTGAACGTGTTCTTTGGACGGACTACGAAGTGCTACCAGATGTAACGGGGCACCCTGAAGCTTGTACTGGTGACAGTACAAGCTACTTATTCTGATGACAGAATAAGGCGGTGCCTCGTCACTTCACGTACACTCGTACGTGCAGAGGAAGACGGTAAGAAGAAGCGAGTACTTGGTTAAAGTAAAAAGTAGAACTGTATTCAGTATAGTTAATGTCTGCAATAAATCACTATTTATCCTCATCTAACTATGTCGGAATACAAATGTGCATAGCAACTGTCTGCTCACCACTCATTGCGTGCGTCTGTCTTGGCGCGTCTTCGTTGGTTGATACAATGGCTTATATCAACCAATTAAGAACTGCTCGTAAGTGCTACAGAATATTTGTCCTTATGACAATATTCTGAGAATATAACTCTTCTTGTTATATCCTATTAACAATTTCTTATAAATTGTTATGTAACGATTCACCCCGTTAAAGAGATGACACAGAGCTTTAATCGTGAAGCGCAACGTGTGGTATTTGACGGGCAGCACACGCCCTACCTTTATCTTCCTGTTAAGTGAGCAGTAAATACATGGGCAAACAAAGAGCTCAAACTAAGGGGCTGTTCGATCAACAAACAATGTGCGAACACCAAATACCGCCCCTGTAGTGGAGCAAGTAAGCGCTCCTTAACAGAGAAATTCTTCGACTCAAAGATTCTCTTAGTTATAACAAAATAACAATGACGTACAGTCGTTCAAGTGTACAAGCTTAACAATCTTGGTTCCCAAGGGATTATGATTCACAGAATCACACACTAACTATTCACTACTAGATGTGCAAGAGTAAACGCTATGACAAGGCTAACACTCTTACAACACGCTATGCCTTGACTAGCCACTAGCGTCCAACGATTCAAAAGGGGAACTGAACTTTGCTTATTCTTTAACTACGGTAATAAAACCCCAAAACCTTTCCTGACTGACTTCTACATTACAATCTTATGACATAAGTCTGATCCCTTATCCTTACCCGATAAGATGCGCTATTGCCGTAAGTTTATGGCACCGATTCGGTACACTCATATCCATCAATCTTTACTTGGTGTGTACAAAAAACGTAACCGGTTCAATAAACGCCGTGCAACCCCGTACCACCCTCCCTTACCAATCTGTCGACACCCTTGTGTCGACAATTCTCTTACTGCTCTTTGAGGTCTCGAAGCTCTGGTCCTGACCATCGTGTTCAAACACATATTAAAATGATTGAGTCA